GCCCCCCGCGCCGCCGGCGCCGCGCAGGACTTCGCCGCTCGAGGGCCTGGGGCCCGGGGACGCGCGCGCCTACTCGCCGTCGCGCAACGCGCAGGAGGTGGAGGCGCGGTAGTCCCGCCGCCCCGCGGACGCTCTGCTGAGAACGCTCCCGCGTGTGCGTTTCCGGAACTTAAGCACAGCCCCGCGGAATCCTGGGAGACACGCTTTTCCACGCGCGGTCTGCGGGGTCGGGGGATTTGACAAACAGCTTTTCGGGGGTGACCTTTTGTTTTCCGAGCTTGAGATTAGGCTATTGGGAAAAAGTTCAAGTTTGTACCTTTTTTCCCCACAGGTAAGAAGCGTTTTTAATGGATTTGTATTTTTCTTAATTTTGTGCTCTTTAGACACTTGAACCAAAAAAGAAACTTTTGCTTCTTGATTTTTTGCTGGGGTTTGCACGGTCACAGACCCGGACCCCTCTCCAGAGCCCCAGGGTTCCTTTGTCTCGTTTATAGAGAAAAACGGTCACTTTGTCCAACGCACTGTGAGGCTCCCCACTCAGGCCCAGCCCTGGCCCTCCCTTGGTACTTGGAACCGAAGTTACAGATATATATTAAAATAATAATTAATAATAATGTACAAAACTTTGTTTTTTGCCTTATTATGCGGAAGTGTAAGGATTTCTTTTTTGGTTTGTTTTTTTAAAAAACAAAGGAAACGTGTACATAGTCTGTTGATATAAATGTATGACATTATTAAATTCTTACCCTAGGTAGGCTTTATAAAAGTCTTTTCCAGAAAGCCCTCTGGTTATTTGTCTAACATGGTCACAAAACACCACTCGCTGTCGGAAGTTTAACTGCAGCAGCTACCCTTCAACTATGCAAGCGCTTCCGTGAGCGACCCCCCAGCCCTGTGGCAGGGCACAGCTGCCCGCGAGGGCGCTGGGTGCTCCAGGCTGCGTCCTCGGGAGGAAGAGCGGCGCTCCCAGGGCGTCTCCTGCGTGAGGCTCACGGTGGGCTTCAGGACTGGCTGGCTCTGGCCGCAAGGACAATTCTGTGGACCCTTGTGCTCATCGTGCAGTGTTCTCGGGATCTGTATGCCAGACAAGTAGAATTTTAGAAGTGCAAGAGTCTAAAGTTTGATTACAAAAAAATAAATAACTTTCGTATATTTTCTCTCCCGTGTGAAGGCGGTCAGACGTTTGTCTCCCTGTGCGTGCACCTCTGGTACCGTGGCTGCTCCCCTTGGCTCGGGTCTGTCCCATAACCACACGAGCGCCACCGTGCTCCGCCGGCAGCGCGTCCCTGTGTGTTTCCCGACGTCCACTCTGTCCCTTCCGGGTTTCCGAGCCTCCTCGATTCAGCCGTGCACGGCCATTGTGTTTCCATTTTCCAGTGTGGACTCCGCTTACTTTAAATATTCTGTTCTCATGTCAATCAATGAAGGTAAATACAGCCTTGATTTTGGATGAAACCGTGGTCGAGTGTTCTGTGTGGCCTTGGGCTGGGCGGCCTCCGGGCAGGCCCAGGTTGACACCCCAAACGCCCCGCATTCCTCCCTCCAGCGCGGGGCGCTATGGGGTGCCCAGACCCCTGGGGCTGCCCCGTTGGGCCGCATTGCCCTGGAAGTGAAGCCCCGAGCAGGTCACGGGCTTTGTAGTCCGGGCACCACCCCAGCTGCGCCCGCCCCTCCTGCAGGGCTGTGCCCAGGGCCCCGCGCTGAAGCTCCAGCTCCGTGGCGCCCTCGGGCATTGGCGCAGGCGTCGCGGGGCCCCCGGGTCCTGCCTCGGCAACCCCCACCGTGGCCTTCCTGTGTGGAACCCCCATCTTCTCTGCGTGGGAGGGTGCCGGCCCCACGGGGACCTTGCAGGGTTGGCCTTTTCCCCCTGCGCCTGAGCACCCCAGAGCCCCGTGAGCCTTTGCGCAGAGAGCGGAAGCTCGGGGAGCGAGGCGGTGGAGCAGAGGATGCCGGGAAGGGGCGGGGCTGGCCCCCCCACCGCCCAGGCCCGGAGCGCCCGGACCCTCGAGAGGCCCTGTGAGCCCCGAGTCGCACCGCAGGTGGGGATGCCCCGCCAAGTCAGAGTCCGGCGCCTGGACCCGCGCCGTGTGGGGCTCGGGCACGAGGGTTTGCTTCCTGTGGGCTCAGCTGGGCCCTGCCCGTGTGCCCCGGCCGGGCTGCTCCTCCCCCGTCGTGGCTGCACCACGGCAGGAGCTCGTCCTGAGAAACGCCTCGCCAGGCGATTGTGGCCACTGCACACCTGGGCCGCGCGGCGAGGCGCCCGTGACTGCACGGAGGCCTGCGGGCGTCTGTAACGCAGTGGTGAGTGTTTCTGTATCTAAACACGTCTGAATGTGGAAAAGGTGCCGTAAACCCACGGTGTGATAGTCTTATGGGGCCAGTGAGCGCGCGGTTCATCCTTAACAGAGATGTCGTTGTGTGACGCGCGACTGTTCATTTTTCCTTGTCTGGGTTTTCTGACCTGCACAGCAAATCTTCAGGAACGAGTCCACTGTGGCAAGGTCCGCCTGTGAACTGTGGTGTGTGTCAGGATTGCCCCCAGGGGGCCTGCTTGCCCTGCGGGGACCCTGGTGGGGAGTGGTACATTTTCCCACATAACAAGTGCTCTACGAGCAGAGGGAGTGTGTTCGGGGGTGGGTCTCAGGTCTGCCACGTTTGTGATTTTGTTGGCCTTTCTTTCTTGCGCGTTGCCTCGTGATTACAAAATAGCTCCTGCAGCTCCAGGCATTACTTCCACAAAGGAGAGAGATAGTAAAGGAGAAAGGGTTGGCACCAAACTTGTCTGTTCCTTTCATTTGGAAAGACAGAACCTTCCCAGGGTTTCCTCCTCGTCGGAGGCCTGGGCCTCCTTGGCTAGGACTGGGCGACATGCAGCCCTCGTCACCAAGGGAGGTGGGAACGTGAGCGTGGGTAGGCGGCTGGCTGAGGCTCAGGTTCCTGGGCTGGCAGTGACACTCCTGGGGGGCCTTTCAGAAATCTGTGGGTGTGTTTTTAAGTCCAGCTTCGGTGGGCCCAAGTCTGCACATATTTGAAATGCATCAAACTTAAATTATTTTTAACTTTCTGTTATACCACAGTTTGAGCATTATTTTTTTCTCCAAAACTATAACGTCTGCGCACTTCATTTCCAGACGGAAAAGGGGCCGTCAGGAAGCACTCGCCATGCCGGGCACACACAGTCCCCGTGTCCTCCCTGGGGCCGGGCTGCTCCGAGCTACTCTGGCTCCTCTTAGCCAGGCTGGGGCGACAGCCAAGGTCACTCTGATAGGGCAGCCAGCGGAGGAGGCCGTGGTCACCTGGAAGCCCTCACCCAGCCTGGCCGGGCGTCTAGGGGTCTAGGGGTCTGCGCCCTCCCTCGCGGCCTGCAGCTGTGTGCTGCTGACTGACCGCCCATCCCCACCCACCAAAGAGGCCACCAGGGCTCGGCCCCTTGTCAGGAAGAGACGCAAGGGCTGCGGCTGCCCAGCAGGGCCAGGTGTGCGCACCTGGGCGGCCTAGACCTGGGCGCACGTGGCTCCTGTTCCTGCCCCAGGGACATCTGCCTTTGATCAGGTTCAAGGCTGTGAACGGAAATAGCAACTAGACTACGGAGATTCCTTCGTACATCTCTGTCTCTAGATTTAGGAAAAGAATTACGGAAGTGATAACGTGCCCCCTGTGGGGCGCACAGTGATGTGAGGCCGAGTCCGGAGAAAGTCCACGGCCCTCCCTCCAGGGCCGCCCGCCCCTCTCAGCCGCACCCTCCCACACCCCAGCTCTTTCTGGAAGCTTCCCAGGCCAGGTGCTCCGAGATGCAGGGAGGCCGCCTACGGCGCACCCACCGCGGTCTGCGTGTTAGCCGGCATCCTGCACCCGAACCTGGCTGTCTGGGACACGCTTCCGCGGGGCAGGTTCTCCAGAGCAGAACTGCTGGTCCCGACGGTGCCCTGGGTGCTCCTCACTCTCTGTGTGCGGAACTCACACCTGCATCTCTAATTCTGAATCCGCCGTGTGCACCGAAAACCCGGCTCAGCCCAAACCCTCCAACTCCCGTCCGACCCCCTGGGCTCAGCCCAGCTCTCCCCGCAGACACCCCTGGGCACCTGCTCCAGCCCTGGGCGCCCCCTGCAGGGCGCCCTCCTGCCGCCTCCACCTCCCTCCCCCGGGGACACGCGTGGCGTTGGGGACGGCCTGGAAATGCAGGGCCCTGTCTTGTCGCCACGCGGGGCAGCAGGGGTCGGGTGTGACAGCCGTGGGGGCCGTCCCGCAGCTGCAAGTGAGTAATTCTTGAGTTTGTAACACCGGCCTGGCGCCGGGGTAAGGAGCAGAAACACAGTTATTTCCAGGGTTTGCCCCCAACCCTTGCCCCGTCTCCAGGCCTAGAATGGCCCTCGGGCTTCGAGACAGAATTCCACCTCCCGGTACCCAGGTGTGCGTCTCTGTGGACGCGCCCATCACGTGTTTCCTGTGAGCAGCCCCCGCAGTCAAGCCTGCTGAGACTGGCGTCTTCACTCAGCGGACTTGCAGGCCCATCCGCGTGGCAGCCTGCGTCGTCACAGCCCAGGGGCTCCTTGTGGCTGAACCGTGCTCCACGGTGGGCGGGCCCTTGTGCCCAGCCCTGCGCTGGGGGTGGAAGTGCCGCTGTGAACCGTGTTTGCGGCGTTTCTGGGACCCCTGCTGCAGGGGCTCTCGGGTGTGTCCCAGGAGTGGACGCTCAGGGTCAGAGGCCAAGTTCACCTGCACACTCAGGCCCTTGTCTCTGCTGGTGGCTTCTGATCCCCTTTGCTGGGTCCAGCCCAGGGCAGTCGGCGCTCCCGGCGTGGCCTCAGCTCGCCCGTCCCAGCAGACGGGCTGCGGGTCGGCCCTGCGAGGCATCCACGCGCCGGAGCCCCCCTCTCTGGCAGTTCTACGCAGCTCCAATTCTGACGGGTTTGCCTCCGAAAGTCAGGGATTAGGAGGAATCTTGGCATTCTATGCTCGGCAAAAACCAACCAGGACAGAATCCAGGCGGAAAGAAGGGCAGTGCGGGGCCAGGCCTCCCAGAGCAAGGGCGTCGCTGTGCGCCGAGAACACCCCGAGGTCGAGGTCAAGGTCGAGGTCGAGGTGGACAACGTCTGTTTTCATTTCTTACAGGAATCACCTTGAATTCAAGTGTCGGGGCTCTCGTCGGGGGCAGGGGCCGGGAGGTGCGTCACAACCGCTTGTAAACCCGGCGGGAACTCCCACGTCTGGGCAGCGTCTCTCAGTCAGAAAAAGTTTAGCTCAATCTCGTCAGTGGGAGGACGAAATTAACTTTCTGTTCTCTCTGTAGAAAATACTACAAAATCATTTTATAAACGCGTGCGTGACCAAAGACTGTGAATTCAGAAAATTTGGGGTAAAAGTGTTACAGCAATTCGTAAAAACGGTTATTATTTTTCTGGACATTGCTTATGTGACTTAGCTTCTGAAATTCGTAGATCGTAGTGAGTCTTCAGTGTGAATTAAAATTCACTTTTAGCCCTGATGTGTGAATAGCCGCGTATTCGCTCTCTTAGAGAAGGTCACCAGAACCCGGTCACTTCCTTCCGCAGAGCTGGGGAGCAGCGGGGAGCAGGGGGCAGTGCTCCCCGCAGCAGGGTGGCCGGTTGGCCCCGAGCACCCGCTGGGGGACAGGGCACTACAGGAACCAAGCGCGGGCGGGGGAGGAGGAGGCGGCCTCGGCAACCTCCGCGGGGCCCTCGGGACGCAGATGGACCTGGCTCTGGGGAGTCAGGGGGCTGGTCTCGGTGGAGAGCACGTGCTTGTGCTTCTGCAACGTCAGCAGTATCGGGACCTTTCCAGTCGGACCACAAACTTATTATTTCACCTACGGTGACAAAATGCACTTTCCCACCTTTGCTGTGGACACTGGCTGGGGGGGGACGTGCAGTGTCCACCCGGGCAGCCTGACAGCCCCCCGACAGCCCCCAATAGTCCCCCGACAGCCCCGACAGCCCTGACAGCCCCCCAATAGCTCCTGACCGCTCCCCGACAGCCCTGACAGCCCCAGTCCTCGCTGTGTGACGTCGGCTCCTGGGGCCGCCGCTGCCGTCAGGCCTGTGCGGACCCCGCCCGCCTACAGCCTCCAGGTTTCACGGATTACGCGTTTACTGCCCGAAAACGTTGGCGGTGATGAAACAGAGGCCTCGAGTTCAGGCAGATTTATTTGCGCTCGATGATCAAGTGCGTCCTGAGCCTGCGGCTGTTTCTGCGGAGGCCTCGCTCGTGGGTCTCAGGCGCTCAGCGCTTCCTGCCTGCGGATTTCCTCAGAGCCCCTGAAAGAGCCGCGTGGATGGCAAGGGAATCCCCCCTCCGAATCCAGCTCCCGGCACCACGAGGTCCAGGTAAGCGTCCCTGGGGCCCAGGTTTGGTTCTTCAGGACACAGATTCCTGTTCACGTCACTGAGGGAAATACCAACAGTGAGGACACGTCCTTGGAGTGTCACCGCCGAGCAGGCAGGAGACGGTTAACTGCGGACCAGCTGCCTCCGGAGCCCAGGTCTCCCACCCGTTGGGGAGGGTGCCCTGGTGCACGCGGCTCCTGGGCGGTGTCTGTGCGCGGGGCGCTCTCGGTGCAGACGCTGCGTGGCTGAGAGACTCGGCTGTGCCCACGGAGACCCTCTGCAGCCAGCGCAGCCCCTGCCCGGTCTCTGGGGAAACCGGCACCTGCCGGGTCTGCTCTCCACGGACGCCCGACCCAGCTCACTTGCGCTCCGTGCCGGGCCACGCCGCTCGCGCTCTCTCCACGGAAGTCACCAGGAGGGGGCTGGGAGACCCCCCGCCGCCCCCAAGGCTGCTGATGGCGCAGCCTCCCCGGCCCAAAGACCGTCGTCTCCGTCCCCTGCGCGTCCCTGCGGGCCTCTCTGACAGCCGCACGCACCGTGCCCAGCCCAGGAGCCCCTTCCTGTCCGAGACCTGTTTCCTGCGCGCTCTCACTGGGTGGATGGGCTGCTGATGCCGCAGCCGGTTCCCGCGGGTTTGGGTTCAAGGCACCCCCTCACTCACGGCTGCCCGCCAGGGGGGCTCACCAGAGGCAGGCACTGGGCCAGGAGCCCCGTCCGCGGGATGCAGCGGTAGGGGCTGACCTCGCTCAGCCGGATGCAGCACCGGCTGTGGCAGTCGTCGTGCCTTTCGCAGAAGTCACCGTCGGGCTGGGGACACAGGGCAGGGGCCGCGGCCCAGGCAGCCTCCGCGTCCTTCCTCCCGCCAAGCCCAGCAGGGTGCAGAGGTGGCCGCCCCCTCCCCGCCCCTCCCGTCTGCACTCCTGGGGACCCTGGTGTCCCTGTGCGTCCGCCTGCCCGAGGGCTCACCTTGCGCCAGGGCACGCACTGCAGGAAGATGGTCTTGGGGGTGCAGAACCACTCGGGGCTGTGGCTGTTCCTGGTGCAGCAGCTGCTCTGGCACTGGGTGTGGCTCTTGCATGCGTGCCCCCTGGGCTGTGGGGACAGGAGACCGTGTCCCTCCTACCGCCTTCCTCTGTCCTTCCAGAGCGGGCGGGAGCAGGGGCGGCACGGCGTCCGTACACACCCTCCGCCAGGGCAGGCACTTTTGGAAGATGGTCTTGGGGGTGCAGAACTTCTGGGGGTTCACGCTGTTGGTGACGCAGCAGTTGCTCAGGCACTCCCTGTGGTCCTCACAGGCCTCGCCGGTCCCCTGAAACACACCGTCACCTGCCCCGGCAAGCCCTGCACTCCCAGGGCACCGGGGGCCTCCTCCCCCTCCAGCTTCCCCAGGTCACCATCCTTCAAACTCAGGCCAGAGAAGTTTCTGGAACAAACCTGCCCACAGTCAGTCTGGCAGGGCAATGGCAGGGTGCCCAGTGGTGAGGAAGGGAAAAGGAATGTCTGCTGTGAGCCGCGTGAATGGAGTAAACTGAGGCACAGAGGGTGGAGGAATCGGCACAGGGAGGGGAGGGGCCGGGACTGCAGAGGAAGCTCTCGAGCGGCTCTGCACCTCCTGCCTGCATTTCACAGGAGAAACAGGCTCAGAGAGGGTGAGTGGCTAGCCCAGGATCACACAGCTGGCCCTTGAGGTGCCACGTGAGTGTGACCTTTGACAGCGGCCGGGCCACAGCCGTGTCTCAGGGCTGTGAAGGGGTTTCGAGGGCTGCTGCGGAGGGAGGCGATAGCTACTGACCTTTGCTGCATCCGACACTAAAGCTGAGAAAAGTTTTAAAATAACAGTAATAAACGCGTTGCCTGTTAACACAAATACGTTTTTATGAGACGTAATGCAACTGCGGAGCTGCTCAAGTCACAGCCCGCCCGGGGCTCAGGCTGCTTCGTTGAGGAGGTTGAACTGCGTCGAGGCTACGCGGCCGTCACCCGTGAAGGGCAGACCCGGTGCGGCATCAGGAGGGTGCGTGCGGACAGCGGAGACCTGTGCGAGGTTTGCATCGGGGGGTTTCTGTCTTGTCTTGTTTTATGAAGACCTCACTGACCAGCGGCCCCAGGGCAGGAGAGGAAGGGGCACCTGTGGGCCGGAGCGCAGCCATGGCGGGCGTCAGCGGGAGGCCGGGCACGCACCTTGTGGCCCAGGCCCATCTGCTTCCACTCCGAGGGCCCGGGTGGCGGCAGCAGCAGCAGCAGCAGCAGCAGCAGCAGCAGCGGCATCCGCCCCAAGCCGGCCATCGCGCTCTCAGCCTCTGAGCACCCGGCAGCGCCCGCTCCCTTCCCGTTCCTTTGCTGCTCCTTCCTCTTGCAAAATTTAAAAAAATCAATACGGCTTATTTTCCAGAGCAGTTTTCAGGTCTACAGAAAAACCGCGAAAAGCGGAGCTCCCACAGGTCCACTGTCTTCGCCTGCCTCAGTTTCCCCGATCACTAACACCACGGCAGCAGTGCGTGTGTCTCCACCGAGGGGCCCGCAGCCCACACTGGCTTCACTCCTGGTGTCGCACCTGCCGGGGGTTTGCACCAACGCACCCACCATGCAGCGTCACTGACGCTGGACAGGAGTCTACTGGGTCGGTGGCTGTGTCCTGGCCCAGTGTCTTCCCGGCCCCGTTCAGGGCAGCTCCGTCCCTCTGGCTGCGGTGACTGGCCCAGGACACAGAGTCGGGCCACAGGCCTCCTTCCAGGGGGTTTTTCTGACCGCGGCTGGGGGAAGAGGTGGTTGGGAGAATCTTTCCCCCCCAGGTGACAAAGCTATAATCCCGCAGCTTCTGCAAGTCATGAGAAGCAATAGGAGAGTTCGGGAAATTGCCAGACCAAGATCGACTTAAAATTCAAAACTATTTCTCTATCCGAGCCGTAAATAACTAGAAAGTAGAAGATAAGATCCATTCACTTCAACGAGAGAAACGCCACCCGGGGCCGCAGTACGTGTTGTGTGCCAATGCAGCCGACCGGGAGGCCGTGTGTGGGCTTTTCCCCCAGGACAGGAGGGGGCGGGTCAGCGCTGCAGCTGCCCATGGGGCCCCACGTCCCCGAATCGGACTCCTGTCCCCACCAGGGGAAATGGCCTTGTGCACGTCGACGCAAACGGAGAGGAGGCCGTAGGTAGGGCCTGTGGTCATCTCTGTACCCAGAGCTCTTAACTTCCCTTGGAGGCATTGCTTGTACCTGACTTAAAACCAAACAAGAACAACAACAAACCCAAGCCTCCAAAACACAAACGACAAAAAACATCCAACCTGCTAATTGGTTACGAGACCCGGGCCCTCCCGTCGGACCACCCCGCACAGGTGATCTCCTACTTGCTTCCGTGTCAGCAGATAAAAGCTCGCTGCGCACGCTGCTGCCCGATTCCTGAGATGTTCTTTGCTCAAATAAACTCTGAAATCTGTCTAAAGTTTTTCTTTTAACATGAGGCCACCAAGTATCTTCGTAGCGGCCCCAAGACACACCCTTTGGTCCTGAGAGAACGGATGTGCAGACGCCGCCCAGCCAGGTATGAAAACAGAGCTCTGGCCGGCAGCTCCCCGCAGGGAAGGGATCAGCCCCGGAGGGCCAGGACTTGGTGTGGCGACTGCAGCTCCCATGAGTTTGTCCCACTTCGAACTCAGAACCGGCCGGAGACAGCAAATGCTCCACGGGACGCCCACCCTCCCACGGCGGCCTCCGCCGGGTGCACCTGCGATCGCCCCACCCCGCAAGCCCTGAGCGCAGGGCGGGGGCTCCCGGGCTGTGGCTGCTCCGGGATGAACAGCGCCCGGGTTTCACCAGCCCCTGCCCAAACCCGCCCACGGCCGGGCGCCTGCTGTGTGGGCACCACAGGTCGGGGACTCGAGGGGCGGCGCCAGGGTGCAGGGGCATCCGCACGTCCCTCGCGGTCTGGGGGCCCCTCGGCCCTGATCCTGGAGCCCGACGCCACCTGGTCACGGAAACGTCTCCAAGATGAGCCCACAGCCCCTGCACAAGCCCGATTCCGCGTCCTATCAAACCAGTAAGACGGCTTTCAATGCAACTACATAAAAGCTAAATGCACCGCAACTGGAACATGTTTAAATTTTAAACTCACAGTATTCTTTCTGCACTTTGAACGAGAAAAAAATTTTTTTTTCTGCTCTCAAACCTTTTCATAGGCCTCTGAAAAGTTCGCAGGCCCAGTTTCCAAACGGGGCACGACGCGCTCGGCAGATCAAACGGCCCCGTAGCGCAGGAGCACACGCTGCCCCGCGGACAAATTCCAGTCTATGAAAGATCACCGGTCACCCTGCCGGTCACCACGACGCTACTCACAACAGCCAGGAGCGGGAGCGACCCCGGGCCCCCCTACGATGACCGATGAACACGCAGAGACGCACACGCGGCGTCAGCTGGCCTCACGGAGGAGGGAAGTGCCGACACCGGCTACAGCACGGACGGACCAGCGCCGACAGTCGGGTCCCACAGACACCAAGCTCACAGAGACAGAGCAGCGTGGGGGCGCCAGGGTGGGGAGGGGACAGAGACTCCCTCTGGGCAGTCGAGAGTGTCCTGGAGACGCGCCGTGTGGCGGCCGCACAGCAACGTGAAGGTCATCGATACACGGAGCTGCGCACTGAGAAATGGTTAAAACGGTCGATGTTATGGTCAGTGTGTTTGACCACAAAAAAACAAAGCTTCCAGGCCGATCCCACAGCACCCTGGAGGCATCCTTGCTGCTGCTGAACTTGAAGAACAGCGTCCACGGCCCCCATTATGTTCAAATATTCTTCTACGTTTGGAGTCTTTTTTCCTGGATATTTGTTTATGAATCTGTCAGACCAGAAGCTTCAGTTTTTCCTTCTAAACCCCAACATCAGGTGATCTCATAACATCTCGATGCGCTAAATCAGCGCTTGATGCCAGATCTTGCCAAAGACCTTACGAATCCCAGGAAATCGCTCTTAAACCACAGCTACACTTACACACGGAAAAACAACGCGGGAGTGAATTCACGAGACCGGATTTCCCTCCCTGCAAAGCTCCCCGCGGAGGATCGCTGCCTGGGTGCTCGGGGGCCTACCTTTCTCTGTCTCAGGTCCGCCTGCTCCTCCGTGTGGCTCTGTCTTCCAGAAAAGACGCCAGCCCCAAAGCAGAGCAGGTCAGGGCAGGGTCCCACCTCCGGCTGTCCCCTCTCTCCTTCCTGTTCCCGCCCAGCCCCAGGAAGAAGGCTTTCGTCACCCGGCAGGAGGGCCTAGACGTGCTGCGAACCGTGGCCAGGGGACACGTGGCAGGACCCAGCCCGTAGGAAGCCACCCAGGGCCTCTGCGGAGATTGGCCGGCCTCCCTGCCTGCGCCCACGTCACCCCAGACTGGCCAGGGAAAGCCAACGTGCTCTCACCACCCACGTGGGACGCCCCTTCCCGGTCGCCTGCTCTCCTCCGTGCCGCGGCCTGTTCTTGGCTGGTGTCCGCGTTTATTTCCACACATCTGTTTGCTCCTTCAACAGCATCTAACAGCTGCCGTTTACTGGTTACTTATGTGTGACCATGTGCCGCGCACCGTGGTAGCCCTGGGGAGGATTTCTTCCTGGGGCCGTGAAAATACTCTGAGTTTAGATTCTGGTGATGTTCGCACAGTCCTGTGAATACCCTAAAAACAATGAGTCGTACACTTTCAGTGGGTGGATTGTATAATATGCAAATTATATCTGGAAAAAGCCGTTACAAGATTTTCTAGGGAGAAAGGCTTTATAAAATAAACATGAATCATTTATACACAGTGTCCAGAATAGACGGATCCACAGAAGCGGAAAGCAGATTCGTGGGAAGCAATCTAAATGTTCACGGCAGACGAGTGGACAGGAAAGCGTGGTGTCCACGAGCCACGGACACCCTCTGCCACACGCAACAGCAGGGGCGCCGTGAGGACGCTGCGCCGGTCGCAGAAACACAGACACCGCGTGGTCCCACTCACGTGTGCTCTGTAAAACAGTCGTGCTCAGCGTCACGCGTGGGATGGGGCTGGGGGTCGGGCTAGAGGTTCCTCATCCACAGGTGGGAACTGTCCGTCCAGCCGGTGGTGGGGGTGTCTCTAAACGGGTGAATGGTACAGTGAGTGAGTGAATAAAGCTATTTTAAGAAGAAACCAAAACTTTTCCCTATAACTTGGTTGTTCTTAAGGGGTTATTTATAGATAACTTTTTTCTATTCTTGCCAGAGAGTAATATTTCCTTTTAACCAAAGGTTTTAGAATTCAATTGAATAACTGCATTTTTTCACTTGGAACGTGCCTTTTCAAAGTAAAAAACAATTACGAGACTCACTCTTCTGAAGACTAATTTCCTTAACCTATGTAGAAGTATTTATGCACATTACAGATATTAATTTACACCTCAGCTGTGGTTACAAAGCCTGTGCCTGGCGGCCTCACACGTCCTCCGGTTTGCAACAGGAGTTTTCATTTGGTTTCTTAATTCTCCTCCTAGGAGGCTTTGAGACACCTCGTTGAAAATTCTTTGTAAGCATTCGTGGTCTGCTGAGACCAATCACACCCAGGTTCCTCGCTGACTTTGAGAGACTGTTGGTTCTGCTTTCTGGTGAGGGGACGCCCAACGAGAGCCACCTTCCAAAGGAAACCGAAAGTCTCCTTGTCATCCGATGAGTTTTCCTAACAACAGAGCAGAACACTCGACTCCAGCAACACACCAGCCTGTGATTGGCTGAGACCCAGCTGTTTGTTACAAAACACACTCCGACACAGGCCTTCAGTTGGTTTAAGTACTGAGGCTGCAGTTCATCACCGAGGCAGCTTCAGTCCAGACTTAATTTGACAACCCCCCCCTTGGGTCAGCCTTGGGCACTGACGCGACTGTTGAACTCCGTCGTCTTCTCCCAATCAGAGAATGAAAGCAAGAGATGGCCTCGAAGCAGCAAAGTTCACTGGAGCGAAAGTTCACTCCCAGAGGGGTTCACAGCAGGGTCACGCCCAGCAGACTGTGGCACGGGGGGCTCTGTGGGCTTCTCTTCTCCCCTTGTCTGTCCCACGCGGCCTCTCCTCCTTCCTGACGCCGTCTCTTCTCCCTTTTCCTTGACCAGTGGGGATGCTGTCCACTTCCTGCTGTCAGGCGGGGACGTGTCCTGTCCGAAGCCCACTGGTTTGGGGGGACGGTCACGTATCACGTGTGCTGTGTTATGTTTCTCGGGGCACTTGCAGCAACTCTTATCTCGGCACGTTCCGGCACGTTCTCCCACTCGGCTCCCGTTTGTTACACTGCTGGCTTTC